TTTAAGTTTAATAACGAAATAATTTATTTATAGTTTAATAATATAACATTTTATAAATATAATAATTAAGTATTTTGTTAGAACTTAATGATTATCCTAATTATATTTTAGATTTTTTATTTTTAAAATGAGATGTTTATCCTGTATTTAATTATGTTTATATGCAGTTAGTTACACGAATTCAGATATGAAGCTTTAATAAGTTGTACTTACGTTGCAATCTTGATTTATAAGTAATATGCATTAATAAACAGTATTTTAAGCATAAAAAGTGGGTTTTAAGAGTTTTTGTCAAATGTTTTATGATATAGTATAGATTAGGGGGCCGTTTACTAAACGCTTACCCGGTAGGTGCTTACCGAGCAATTTTCCTCACCGAACTAACATGACAAGGCCCAAGAATCTTATCTGATAACAGCGATGATAAGGATAGAGAGTCTTACCCGGTAAGTGAGGGTGACGACTCTTACTCGAGTAAGCGCTTACCATATATATTGTTGCACACGATACCATTTTGATATACTACAATCTTACCTATAAAATAAATTATAGTGTTGACTCCTAACAATAAGCGTTGGGTAAGTAATTAGGTAAACAGCCCCTAATTAGATTTGATATAAATTAAGGTTTTAAATGGTGATGTATCGTGTACGATAATGTCAAGCCTTAAGCCTCAGGAGCCATGGTAAAGTCACAACATTTTCAAGATTGTATGAAATTGTAGGGTTGGCATCTGGTGAGAATGAGAGTTATGGTTAAAAATGTAAGAAAAGATCTTGATCCTTAGATGCACGTTAGGATGAGATGCACCGAGACACACCGGATCAATCTCCGTATCAAGCGCATTTCATGGGCGAGTTTGATATTAAAGGTGATCAAAAGCTCCTCCTGATCCCTTATTACGTTTCTCACCTTAACTATATATACACATGTGACTCAATTATCCTAAACAATTAAAATTACGTTATAAACTAAAAAGTAAGACAATATAAATATAAAAAATTAAATATCACGTTATAAAAAACCATGCATTGGACTAAGGTGTGTCACATGCTTAACGTGACATCAGCCATGAGAGCATGCCAAGGCGGTCGTTGTCGTGAGCCTTTCAGAACAATGATAAAAATTAATTGTTAATGTAAGATGGCCTAAAATGATATTGATATGTTAAAAATAAAAGAGGAAGGAAAATTAGTTTTTATAGTTGACTTATCGTAAAAACAGATGTAATTTTTTCAATTAATTCAAAAAGTAATTTATCATATGGTTACTGAAAATAACCTAAAAACCTTATTGTACCTTTTAGCTATATATGGATGAATAAAATATTTATGAGTTACCGTATATTTATATAGGATCAAAGTTAAGGTGAGAAACATAAAAAATGATTTGGACCCTTGATCATTTTTAATCTCATCCCACCCCATGAATTACATTTTTGATCTGGTGCATTTTATTAATGTTGATCCTCAATTATGATTGATCCAAATGTGGAGATTTCTTCTTACTTTTCTCACTGTAACTTTTATTTTTAACGGAACTTAATCTTGTCAAACCTAAGGGTTAAAAAGAAGGGAAAAGTACAATAAAAACCAATGAACTTTCTTGTTTGGAATGATTAAGT